ATATATATAATAATATACTTATATATATTAATTAATATATATATATATATATATATATACGAGAGTGGTTTGAAAAGTCCGTGCCTAAATGAAAACTACTTAATTTTTCGGAATAAACCTTTTTTATTTTTTAATGTAGTCTCTTTTTAGACCTTACACTTCGTCCAACGCTGCTCCAGTTTGTTGGTCCCTTCCGAATAATATGATTGATCCAACTATGCAAAATAAGCATTCGTTTCCGCAATCACTTCCTCGTTTGAATGAAATCTTCTTCCCACTAGCCATTTCTTCGCATTGAGGAATAAGTAGTCCGAGAGAGCCAAATTTGAAGAATAGCGGGGGGATGTGAAACGAGTTGGAACCGTAATTCCATCAATTTTGCGGCCACAATTCCGGAGGAGTCAGCTGGTGCGTTGTTGTGATGGAAAAGGATTTTCTTGTGGTTCAATCGTGGACGTTTTTCTTATAATTCGATTTTCAAACGGTCCAGTAACGATGAATAATATTCACAGTAATAGTTTTACCCTTTTCCATATAGTCGATGAATATTATTCTTTGCGAATCCCAAAAGACAGTCACCATAATCTTCCCGGCCGAAGGAATAGTCTTCGCCTTCTTTGATGCAGATTCCTCGCTGGCAATCCATTGTTTGGACTCTTCTTTGGTCTCAAGCATGTAGTGATGTATCCATGTTTCGTCCACAGTGACGAAACAACGCCTAAAGTCCTGTGGATTTCGTTAGAACAACTGCAAACATTCCTTGGAACACTTCACACGATTTCGTTTTTGGTCAATTGTGAGCAATCGCAGCATCCATCTTGCAGATAATTTTTTCATACCCAAATGTTGATGCAAAATATTATTTACCCGTTCACTCGAGATGCCTATGGCACTAGCGATCTCACGCACCTTAATTCTTCTATCATCTATTACCATATCATGGATTTTATCAATGATTTCTGGAGTAGTAGCCTCAAGAGGGCGTCCAGAACGTTCAGCGTCACTTGTGCTCACTGGCCACTCCGAAATGTTTGAAATCATTTATAAACTGTTTTAATCGAAGATGCAGATTCATCATAATATTTATCAAGCTTCTTTTTAGTTTTCTGAGGTGATTTGCCTTTCATAAAGTAATGCTTGATCAACACATGAAATTTTCTTTCATTCATTTTTAGAAATCACTCGACTTCCTCGTTTCAGATGTCCAATCGGACATTGCTGATTGGTCGATTAAATAAAAAAATTTTTGATAGATGGCTCACTAGAAAATTCCTAGGCATCGGCTGATGTGAATGATTTCCGATTGAAAATGTGCGCATCTGGAACGCTCCCTTTCAGATAAAATGCCAAAATACAGAGAAATAGATCAATCTGGCTGAAAACTTAGTGTGTATTCTTCCAAAAGATGCTACTAACTGAATATAACCTCG